ATCATCAATCAAACTGAACGATCATCAAATTATGACCTTCTTGGACTCATCACAAGTCATACTTTTGGGTACTTTGTCAAAGTGAAAAGTGGTAAGACCGTGTTGTTCTAAACACTTTGTGACATACTTTGTATTTGGTTCAACTTTCTTTAGAGAGTCTCTTGTGAAATGCAAGTGCATCCTCCGTCATTTTATACGGTGAGGTAGTATCGATTTAACTTTCGCTCTATTAGTAAGTTCTCTATTTTACTTGTTTATTTCTCTAAATACACGACATACTTGATGTATGGTATATATATTATGAGTATTCATTTACAATATAATTCTTAATTGATAATCATAATGACTTATCAATTTATATACTTGAAATGACCTCATCATATTATATTTTCATGTATTTCTTATAAACACTTATTTGTACATAAGCATGTTTAGCTTAATTAAACATCAAACATAACACATTTGACATTATATCATATTTGATTCTACTAACATGTAACTTATCAAAGAGTTTTCTAACCTTATGCAGGGAGTGTTTGAAATGAGTCTTATGGAAAATTAAATTACTTTCCCAACTCCAAATAAAATAGCTCAAGAAAGGTACACTTGTGTGGGAAATTACCATCGCGATCATGTTGAAAAAGAGGATGTTTTGTTTGAGTATTTTGATAGTGAAAATCAACTTGCCGATATTGTCACAAAAATGTTTGCAACCAAACTGTTTTTTATCAAACATGAGAAATTAGGGATTATTAATGTCTCTAATGTTGCTTTCTTTATTATGATACTTACACTTTTATACTTTTACTTTAACACTTTGTTTGAAGTATTTTTCATCATGTGTTTGCAACTTTCATTACATCAAGAGTGAGGTAATATTGTTCCAAAGTTCTCCTTGAAAGTAAGAAGTTTCTTATTACATATTTTAGTTGATGAAAAATGCTTGCTATATTCTCAAATGATGAAAAACATTAATGTTTATTTCTAAAAAAACTAATTGACAACCATTGTGTGTTCTCAATATATGTGCTTATAATTACTTCATGTATTAATTCTTTCACATTTTTATAAGTTTTCTCTTGTGTGTACAAGTGTGTGTTTTTATTATTATTTCTTACATTTGTGCATGAGTTGAATGTAGGCATGTTAATTGCATGTACGATTCTTGTTGTAGTTGAGTCACTTCTTATGGCAACATTTTCATTTTGGATTGAGTAGTGACACTTTTTGTTGCTATGCTAGATACATTTAGTGGAGTTTTGTAGAGATTTTCATCCAGAAAAAAACTTCGGGTTTGTCCTCCAAGATCATTGGTTGATTTGGGGGTTTTCGTGCAAGACGTTCGAGATATAATTGCAGTAACGTGAACAACCTTGGAGTGCTTAAAATCTTTGCAAGAAACCTTTGAGTGTTTTAAATCTTTGCAAGGAAGTAACTTAAAGTGTCGGATAGAATTGAAGTCTTGTGTTACAATAGTTGAAATTGACGGTGCACGAAAGCTTTGGAGATAAAATACGTAAAGGAGTAGCAAGATCCAGATAATCAATTTACATCTATTGTGTTCTTGATCTTGTTGAAGATCAAAAGAAAAGAAGGGGTTGAATCAACATAAAATTGTTAGGATTTGTAAGATTGCTCTTGAACACTTCTCTTGTAATCATACTTTTACAAAGTAAGAAATTATCCTAATTCTAAATTTGGAATTGGGAGGAGATATAGCCATAACGAGGACGATTTGTGAGCTTCCTAAACAAATCTTTGTGTCTCTTATCTTTTATTGTTTTACTTGCTTTGATTTTCATGCATCGACTTATTAAATAGTATTGAGTAATTTATCGATGTGTAGAAATTTTTCGAAACTGTTTTTGTTTTGAATTGTGTGTTGAGTTGCTTATAATCACTTTCTATTATAAGTAATTTTTCATACCAACACAACACAAAGGAAAATTCCAAAACTTTGATTACACGTCAAGTGTTTGACAAATTATTTAACTTGTTTAATTCAAAGAAAAATTAAAATGTTCTATCTCTTACTTTTATTTACTCTCTATATACAATTTGTTAAATGTGTTGTTTGATCGATTGATTCGTATAGAATTTTTCTTTGATTATTAAAGTTTAATTATTTTGTTGATTAGCTTATAATCATTTTGATTGTAAGTGTTTTTGGATATCAACAAATCTCAAAGAAAATTCTGAAAAATTGATTGCGCGTCACATGTTCGATAAATTGTTATGTTATATTTTTAGTATGATTTCATTGGAAATAGAAAACCGTTGTATTTGATATTAAACTATTAATGGAGATATTATTATGTTGATTAATTTTATCATTATGTTAATTTCATATGGCTCGTGCATATCCGAGTTTTTAATAATTAGGTTCGTTTAAACTACTATATTTGATCTAGGTCAAAAATCTTTCGCTTAACATTATTTTTCAAATAAATTTCAGTACCTATGTTTGAGAGGTTATTTTTTATTTGGGTATCTATTCATCTCGTCTAAATACGTTGTCGTAGTCTAACAGTAAATATATTTAAAATAGTGTACGAATCTAAACAAGAGAAAAAATGTGTTGTTTTTTAATTACTTATTTATCTAAAAATAGAAACTACAATCATCTTTAAGATAATATATGAATAGTTAAAATATATATTATTGATGTCATTCTTTTAAAAATTGAAAATTTAATACAATTTTATTTTTATTTTTAAAATATATATTTTAAAAGAATAATAAACTACTTTAATTTTTCTTATTTACACTTTATTATATTTTAAAAGTAAAAGTGTGTGTATCACACCAATATCCATGAAGACGTAGGAATATCCCACTAATTAATAAAGTAAAATAAAATGTAACATAAATCGTTTAACACCACGATGATATGTATCATTGAGCTAATATCACTTAAATAGGTTCTAGAAATATACTTCTGCAATTTTCTCTAAAATATATTTTCGAAACTAAACTTTTTGAAAAATATAAGGTGAGATTCAATTCGAACATATTTTGGTGTGATATGAGTATGTCCAATATATATTTCTGCAATTTGATGGACATTTTTGAATTTCATATTTTCTTTTTCACTCTATAAAATACATTAAGAGAGCATCTAGATCTAATCCATTGAAATTTGAATAGATTGGATAATAAATTGAATCAAATTTGGTTTAATCCAACCAATGCGCACCCCTAATCAAATCTTGTTTTAATCTACCCAACATTAAAATATGATAAGTTCATTTTTTTTAACTTATCTTTTTAGTTAAAACTTTTATCAACCCTCTTAGAAATCAATAAAATAATATAAGAAAATAAATTATTGATATTTATTCATTTTTTATTTTACTTTATTTACATATAATATATATAATATTTAGTTAACTTATTTAATATAAATAATATAATTATTTATTTATTTATTTACTAGTAGGACATCATTCCTCTTAAAACACATTATATTTTGACGACAAAAGAAAAAAAAACAAAAAAGATTTTAATTATTTACAAACAGCACATACTTAGGGATTTTCTCTGTTATTCCTTATTACATATATTGAAAATAGTTAAATAAAAAGATATTATCTTATTAAATAGAAACATTTGTATAAAAAAAAAGTTTTTAATGTGTGAAATTTTGAAAACAGTTTAATATTAAAGGACAAAGAAAATATAAAAATAGTTTTATAAATTAAAAATAGATATTGAAAGTCCGAAGCAATATCTGGGTGATTTCTGCCAAAAGAGATTAACCATTTCATTATTTTTTAATGACAAGTGTTGATTGGCTTCTTATGGGAGGAATTAACCTCTCACCTCCTATTTATACGTGACACCTCCATCATGTATGCTTTTATTAATTTTAAAAACATAATTTTATTGAAAATTTGAGGTATAGGAAATTTCGAGAAAATTTCAATTTTCGTGAAATTTTTGGAAAGAAAATTCAAAATTTCTAATATAATATTGGAAATTTCCAGTATAGTACTGAAAATTTCAATATATTCTGAAATTTCCAAAAAAAAAAATAATAAATAAAATAAATTCCAAATACACTAAAATTTCCGATAATTTCCAATATTAAATTTTGTTTTTAAAAAAAATTAAGAAAAATGAAGAGGTACCATGTAAAATTTAGAGGTGGGATGTTAATTCCTTGTCTTACTGTTTCTAAAAGACTTCATAATAAATAGCATGTCTCAAAAAAATTTGTTGAAATAAAAAGAGCCTCACATGTTTGTTTCTATTTGAGTTTCTTGCCTCTTTTGTTTTGTCAACTACTAACAAAATACACATTTTATTCAAAAAAAATCAGTTACCTTTGATAACCTACAAAATAAATTTTGATATCAGGCCAAATTATAAAGTATATGTGGTAGGTAATTAAAAGGATTATTGTTTCTAAGCACCCTTTTTCTAAGAAAATAGACCCAAATAGTGCGAGGGTGATATAAATGCCAGCACAATTTAAGGGATGCTGCCTCATTGGTTTTTCAAATACATCTCAAGCCTAGGCCACCCTACTTTACTGGACTACACACTGTGTCAAGCTACTGTAACCAATTTTCTAGTAAGGACACTATCATCCCATATAAAATTCTTACCCACTTTCAATATCTACAATTAAATTCCTTCATTATGGGAATAAAACAAATAAATCTAACCATAGAGATATTTACTCTAGAAACTAATTTAAACTGCAATCTATCTCTAACATAGGTAAAGAATTTGGGTAGTTGAATTGAAAACTATAATATCTAATGATTTTATTTTTTGGTTTGAGAACATATAGAGCTCATCATGGTAAAAACCAGGCCATGATACACCTTAAATCATATAGGCTTTCTAAACATCTTATATACAATATTCCTCAGGAGAAAATGCTGGCTCCTACAAAAACTTTCTCCATCATCTTCAATAGATATCTATAGTTACTCCCTCACCATGGTGAGGTGATTTTGTAAATATTTTAGAATGAGAGCAGCAAAAATAACTCAGTAAAACTCAACTGTGCCAGATATATTGATGGGAGGATCAAAGTCAATGCGATTTGCTTTTCCCTCTGCAAACAACTGCGGTAACATGTTGGCCTCCTTGGCTGAAACTCCTTGGCTAGTCCACAAGGTAATATGGGGCCATGCATTTTTTGGAACGATCTTCTCTCCTTCTACAGAACCAGGAAAAGCTTCGAATGCAGACATTTTATCTGAGAAGAGCAATGCCGTTAACTCCACCGGTACCTCTTTATGCAGCCACAGACCATAATCTGCGACAGCTTTAATGCCATGACTTCTCTTGTGGGCAAGAGTCACATGAGCTCGATTAAGATTCTCTAATTGTTTGTCTCTAAGGAACTCGTCAATCTTCGGATTATTCTTGGCCAACTGCAATTGTATTAATATTATTGGGTTAGAAAAGATACTAAAAGACAATAAAATATATTCAGAAAGCTTAGGTTGATATCTTCCTCAAGATAGAAATGACATAAAAAAATGGTCTAATTAAGAAGCATCCTTATAGCATCCATTCTGTAACCTACACTGCAGAACTTTCAACCAACGTTTAGCTTAGAATTTGGGTTAGACTTTATAGATATATATGTAGGTTATAGACTTATGTAGCCACTAAAAGATATAGCATAAGTTGCATAACACTTAATTTGATAGCTTCTCTAAATATTTTTTTTAAAAAATAGATTCTACATCCTTGTCAATTTTTAATTTGTTTTGCCAAGCCAATCCAGTCTGTGCCCGTCACTAAAAAACTAATCAATTATAGCTGGGCAATAGTAAATTTTCCAACTACCATATTTAGAAAAGAGAATATCATGCAACTACAGAATTTTCCCTTACATTATTTAGGACACCTTGAATTTCAATAACTGGCAGATTGAGAGCAGCAAAAACAATGGTACCAAGCTTCCTCTTTTCAGTATCTGGAGGTGTGTAATCTCCCTTGGCAATGTTTCTCAATTGCTCCAACACTTGCTTGACAGCGAATTCAAATGGAACCTGAAGATGTTATATATCTTTTCAGGGCATAATTGGGGATTGTAAAAAGAATTACTAGCACTACCAAATTTATGCTATCCAATTGTTTAATGAACATAGTTGATGAAAGAGGAAAAAAGATTAAGGTAAAAATACAACGATAGGTATATTAACCTGGACTGAATTAAAATAATCAGCATTTCCAGAAAGAATATCCCGTAATTGTGTCTCCCATTTCATCCATTCTTTTGTGTACGTACCCTTGGTAGATTCTAACCTATAACAGTAATTATCAATTTAAGATTGTCAACTTCTTAGTTTTCACATTGCACCAAAAAACTCAAAGACAAGGACGCCAATACAAACAAGTCAGTTTGCATGTGGTTGTCACCCGCACAACAGATTTTACATGTCACTAATACATCAATTATGGACAAATGACCACTGTAGGATGGAAATACTCCAGTGGATTGTGGCACAGTGCTTTGGGGGAATGATGGGTAAAGCTATACTATATACAGCCTTAGAGATTTGGAAATTCTCATAATCAACCGAGGAAATCTCAATGCTTACACAATTCAAAATGAGATCTGACGAATGATCGAATTATATAACGCTGCAGTTTTGACATTAAAACTTAAGGAGAATATAACACACTCTGAAGTTTGAAACACATTTGTCAGAACTTGTTGAAATTTCTGAAGTACTAGTGGGTGATCTGCAGATAGGATCCGGTACTTTTACTAACAGCTTTATATGGTGAGATTTTGATGTCTTCAGGTTGTAACTGTATGTGCAAGACTCTCTACTCATCAATCGGTGGTGAAGTATATGGTGTGACAACATATGCCTTATATGCAATTATTAATAAATATAGAGATGAAAAGTTCACAAATCCAATTGCTGCAGTTGTAGCTATAACAGTAACAAATCCAGTACAAGCTAAACACAGTAAATACAAAAGCAAAAATTAAGGCATAATAATGTTCACCTAAGTACGCAGATGAAATTTCATAAACTGACCTTCCATGTCTTTTAGTGTGAAGCTTATATAGATCAATTCCTTCCTCCAAAATGCACTTAACTGCCTCGGGAAGGGGGCTCCTACACAATGGAAAAAGCACAACAAAATAAGTAATCTTACCTCAGACATTAGCTTAAGAGATGAGGACTGTCCAAACTTTATATGGATAACATTTGGTTTTGGGAGGCATAAATTCCATTGGATCCTTTTGGTCAATGTACCAATAATACTAATACTAAAATATAGATCAAATACACTGTGAATACTACCATGCTGTTTTTTAAATAATAAATGATAGAAAATTAAATAAAATGATAAACGATAGAAAATAAAATTAAATAAAATTCTGCAATGACTAGAATTGATGAAAGTACCTATCAGATTTCAATAATGGAATCTTCACTAGAGATCCAAAACGGTCAATTAATTCACCCTCAAACTCTTTGCGGCTCTGAAAAGCATTTGAAAAACTATTTAGAGTATAATAAAATATAAACAAAAATGAAATAGCAAAAAAGGAAGCATAAAACCTTGCCATCATATAGGTGATAGAACATTAACAGCACATAACCAGCATTTGGAGATCCCTTGTCAAGATTTCCCTTAAAAAATTTGTCAAGTTCAAATGAAGTTAGTGAAAGGTGATAAAAGTTTTGTAAAAATTGGGGATTATGTGAGCAAAACAAAGCATATATACTGGATGATTGACTCGTTGAAGCACACGAAACACGAAAACAGCTAATGCATCAAGGGCAAATGGATTTGAATCAGTTCCTGCAAAATAAAACACAAAAGAGGAATACTTGAGATGATAATGAAGCTAAAATCAAAACAAGTTCTTCGTTAAAAAAATAGCATGTCATGCAGCTGTCACTTATTGAAAACCAAGCAATATCTGTCTTCATGTTTCGAAGCAAAATAAATAGTAAATTCATGCGGGTTACTAAAGCTAATCAATCAAAAAATGCATTCAGAACCTTAGATACTTCAAATTTGGTTTTATGTAGTGAAAAAAAAAAGTCATTGGATAGTAAAAGTATAAAACAATAACATCAATAATAGATTTAACACTCAATTTCAGGATTGGTAACAAAGATAACCTCCAGACTCGGGCACAACTGGGACAGCAGATGCCCTGGTTCTGTGACACATGTCTTCTACCTGCATATACGACAAGTGTTTTTTAATGCATAACAATTTTAATAAGTAGATGAAACAACGCTAACAAAAAGTCAAGAATGACTCTACAGTAGATTAATAAACCAGATACAAAAAAGCAGGTGTTTCTATCAAGTTAAAGTTTCATAAATACCACCTGCTGTTAGGCAGATGGAGCCACGTGCTGGTTATAGATTTATGGAGGAAATATTATAGAAAAAAGAGGAATACTGCTGGGGTTGAAAACAGGCACTAGTAAGTTAGTTTTCTGTTAACAGTTAGTTAGCAGCTTATAAATAGGGAGGCTCTTTTGTACACAGTTAGTATCATTTACCAGTAAAAAAATCATAATATTACTTTATATTAGGAATTTTAATTTAAAATGAATATAGGAAAATATAAACTAAGGGGGAGAAAGACGAAAGAAGAACGAAGGGATTGAATAAATAAGCTCCGTACGCCATAATAAAATTATATAGAGCACTGACCTGTCTCCAAACTTCTTCATTCGGGGCATTTTTGTCAGCAAGCATTATAGACTTTGGTTTCTTTTTTCGCTCTTCAGCAACTTTCTGCCAATATTTTCCTGTTGATATATTGATAAAATATAATACTCATTCAAGTATAAGCATTATGAAACCAAAAGATAACTCCAGCAATTTTACAGCTTCCATAAATAAGAACAACGGAGAATGGGATGCATAATATTGAATTAACTCATTTAAGGGATCCTTTCCAATTTAAGAATTCCATTTTTAACTTTTGTTGGGAGAAATTTTACCTTTAATCAGATCACCCATGAGACTATGAACTGGTCGATCATCTCCTAGTAGTCCTCTTGGTGCATTTAGCAATTCTTTGCAAAGGGCGGACTTTGCACAACCTGGTATTCCTGAATGCAACATCCCTTGAATGTGAGTTTTAAACACAGAAAAAGCTAAAAGGAAATTGCTCACATCAACAATACTGGAATCAACTATGCCTTAATCACACCCCACAATTATTCAGCAAAAAAACTAATGCAAAACCTCCTCCATAAACCTTAATAAAGCGTGACAGCAGCAAGTCATATTTGAATTTTCCTTGAAATTCTTTTGCTTTAAATTTGATTGATTACAAACAAAATAACCTAATAAGCTAGAAACTGTAAATCAATTCAACGAAATTGTTCCCGAAAGAGCACTGGAAGGAGAAGTCGTTAAACTCAGACAATCAATTACTTCAGCCCTGACTCAATTAATTTCATTCAAATAGTAGCTGAAAATTGTTTCAGGTATACTTGAACAGTTCACATAAGACAAAAGCAGTCAAGCAATCAACTTGCAGGCATATATTATGCTTCACCAACACCGATATAAGTGGAAACCTATGCTTAACAATCACATTTAAGATATTGTTTATACTTCTAATTACATAATTGAACATCTCTTGATCATCATATATTTTAGAAGACGATGACAGTAAATGTAAATGTTGAGAATGTCAACAAGAATAGTGAAAGAATTACCCGGAAAGAATACAATCATCCCTTCATCTTTTGGAACTGTATCTTTGACTGAGATATTAGACCCTGATGGTGCTATATCCCGCTCTGATACAAGATCACCTTCTTCATCCTGGCCTCCCTCAACAATGGCCAAGAAATCTTCAGTCCTAACTAAACTACCAGCAGAACCTATTAGAGCTTGGTTCTGTGGACTACGTTTTGCAAACTGTTCAAGGAAAGGTTCAGCTTCACTAAGATATATTGATGATGAAAGTTGCTTATTTCCACACTTTCTTCTTATATACACAGCCCTGTAAGCAGAGTAAAGAACTTAACAAGTAGCATCAACCACAGTAGGAAAAAGATAAAAAGGACAGAGCTAGAGAGATATAACAATGACTCTAAGCAAAAACCAAACAATAGTTAGCTGTCATCCAGAAGAATACTTCAGGAATTACCATTCATCAAGCATCTTGCTAAGTTCTCTCTGCTTCCCTGGAGAGGTTCCCCATATTTTCATTTGTCTGTGACATTGAAACAAAGCAAGCAAAAAGAAAAAGTAGTTTGGATTAAAACTTTGTGTGACACCAGGTATAACAGGTATATGTGTATATTGCAACTTCTACTATATTGGAATTTGCAACACTAATAACAAGTTATGCAGCTAAATACTAAATGATGCCGATAGATACTGGTTCAGAGATCAACGAAGGTATGAAACAAGAGAGGGATTTTATTGATGAATCCGGGTTAAGAATGAATACAAGATGTTTTTGTTTCTCCCGGGATTTTGGGAGCCTGAGATTCTCTCACCAAAAACCAATCTACAACTAGACAAAATATTCCAAAAATTCTTTCCCTCTCACTTTGAAGCCTGTGTCCGAATTCTGTTCAATCTCTAACCTAGGTTGTCGGTTGTCCATCCTGAGCTGCTTAACAAATGTGTAACACAATAAAATTGAGAAATCAACTCTAATATTCTTTAATGCCTTTGATAAGATTATGGGATGTCCAAAATTCAAGCATTTCTATTCAAAAATAAAATTTCTTGATGAAACTGCTATTGACATCCAAATTTAACAGACTTTTGTAGACCTGATAGAAAAGCACCATAGAAAGCATGTCCATCCAGTAAAATTTATGTTAATAACTTATGTTAATGAATAAATTACTCACATATCACACATGCACATCAATCTCAAACCACAAACATGAAATTGTAACTAGGAAAAGCATATGAAATTATTTATTATATTCAGCTAGCTGATATTCTAGAGGACTGCGAATATAGCATATCCCATACATTATGAACTAGAATTCTGATATAAAGTACAAGAGAGGCAACTTACCTCAGGTAATAAGCCTTGTAAGCACTTGGACCTTCTTTAAAAAGAATTGACAAGCCATTTCGAATGAGAAAAGTTCGCAACTGGGACAATTATCCAACATAAGAACAATAATTAGAATTGTATATTAATAATAATAATAAATAATTTGTATCAAATATTTGACAAAGTAATATAAAACTTCACATTCGGTTCTTGAAATCATAAAGGTCGGGTAATTTAGTTCTCTAAATTTATAAAATGAAGAAGTCATCCCATAAATTGAAATCCGTAGGTCAATTTAGTCCCACATCATGAAAATCATCACTTTCTGAACTATCATCTATCATCTATGGAAGAGTAAACCGCCGAATCCTTACAATTTTGAGGATCAAAATAGCGATTTACTCGAAATAGTGATTCAAAATCAGGGCATGCAGAGATATTATTAAAAAACAAGGAAGATGTTTCGAGAAAGATCAAGGACGTGTGATATTAATACAATTGCAACCATAGTGTAGCATCCTAATTTAGTAAAAAATAATACATAATATAAAGTGTAATTCTTGATAAATATTTTTGAATGGATATGGGCAGATGGTAGAACCTATTATCAAAAAATGTTAACTCGTGTGAAGTAGTCAACCCCTAAAAACTTCGACAATACATAAACTTTTAAGAGACAGGCAGAATAATGATGATGACCTCTTTTTAGTTCTTGTTTCCACCCTAAATTGACTGGCAATTTTCAATAGAAGGGGTTATTTTCCATTTCATATATTTATTTAGGAGAGTAAATCGGCAGATATTTACAATTTTGAGGATCAAAATGGTGATTTACTCGAGACAGAAGGCATGAATAGTGAATCAAAATCAGGGCATGCAGATATTATTAAAAACAAGGAAGATGCATCAAGAAAGATCAAGGACACTTAATATTAAAGCAGATGCCACTATAGTGTAAAGTCCTAATTTAGTACAAAATAATACATAATATAAAGTGTAATTCTTGATAAATATTTTTGAAAGGATATGCACGGATGGTAAAACTCATTATCAAAAAATGTTGACTCGTGTGAAGTAGTCAACTCCTAAAAACTTCGACAATACATAAACTTTCAGGAGACATAGACAATAATCTTAGAAATTTATACAGGCAACAGTTAGCCCTACAAAGGCATGACTATTAAGATTTTAACAAAGCATTTTCTTATAGATTTCAAACATGGATGCATACCTTATATGTAAGAAACTTCAATTTCACCATTAAATTTGCATCTTCGTCGGCAAAGTCGTCTCTTTCAATACTGGTGCTATCACTTTCATTTATACTGCTGTTCTTAGAAATTTCGGCAACTTTTTCCTTGTTTGCCTTGAATAAATTGATATCAACAAAAAATCCTGAAACACATTAAAGTGACAGAAACTTGTAGAAATCAGTAAGAATAATGAGCAGCACATATATGCTTTGCATAAATCATTATCAACATACTTGTGTATCAGTAGGTCATGTTTAAAAATTTATCATGTTTCATTTAATAAGCTCGCATACCATATTTAGTAGTAGTTGAGTGAAATGTAACACCATTGTTAAAATACGAGAGACTAAGAGACATTTGAATAAACCGTGTGTCAAATAGCACAATGGAAAATGATATATATAGAGAGAATTTCAGATCAACAGTATTAATTACATACTAAATATATATTGATCCTATTCTAGAATATACTAGAGAATATTCTATATTGATCCTATCCTAGAATATACAAGGAAATATTCTAAAGAATATTATTCTATATACAAATATCAACACTCCCCCTCAAGCTTGAGCATATAAATCAAATGCACCAAGATTGTTACATATATAGTTAGTTCTGGAACTTCGTAGAGATTTTGTAAACACATCGGCCAATTGGTCATTAGAGTTGACAAAGCTTGTGGCGATGTCGCCCGATTCGATCTTCTCCCTAACAAAATAACAGTCTATCTCAATATGTTTGGTCCTCACGTGAAAGACCGGATTTGAAGCAATATGCAATGCAGCTTGATTATCACAAATAAGTGTCATTAGTTTTGCATCTTCAATTCAAAATTCCTTGAGCAATTGTTTTAACCAAATAAGTTCACAAGTTGCCATTGACATTAGCCTTATATTCTGCCTCAGCGCTTGATCCGACAACATTTTGTTTCTTACTTTTCCAGGATATGAGATTTCTTCCAACAAGGACACAATACCTCGAGGTGGATCTTCTATCAATGGGAGATCCTGCCCAATCAGCATTGGAATATCCAACTATCTGAGTATGTCATTTGTTTTCATACACAAGACATTTTCCTAGAGCATATTTGATGTATCTCAGAATTCGGATAACAGCATCCATGTGTTCTTGACAAGGGAAATTTAAGAACTGACTTACCACACTAACTGCAAAAGAAATGTCAAGACGAGTGACTGTGAGATAATTCAACTTTCCAACTAATCTCATGTATCTTCCTTGGTCAGGTGGAGGCTCCCCCTGATTGGGTAGTAGTTTGACATTTGGATCCATAGGAGTATCAGCTGGTTTTGCATTTAACAACCCTGTTTCTTCCAAAATATTCATAGCGTATTTCCACTGGAAAATCACCAAGCCATCTTTAGATTGGACCACCTCTAATTCCCAAGAAGTAGCAGAGTTTACTAAGATCTTTTGTCTGAAATTGATTCGAAAGATGTTGTTTTAACTGGAGTATTCCTTGTTGATCACTACCAATTATGACAATATCATCTACATATACAATAAGATAGATACACCCTTGAGCTGAGTGACGATAAAATACAGAATGGTCAGCTTCACTACAGACCATATCAAACTGTTGTACTACAGTGTTGAATCTGTCAAACCAAGCTCTCGGAGATTGCTTAAGACCATAAAGAGACGTGTGTAGCCTACAGACCATATTCGAGGACTCCCCATGAGCAACAAACCCAAGTGGTTGCTCCATATATACTTCCTCTTTCAAGATCACCATGTAAAAAGGCATTTTTGATGTCAAGTTGATGAAGATGTCAATGTCGAATGGCTGCAATGGCTAGAAGGAGTCTAACAAATGTCATCTTGGCTACAGGCGAGAAGGTGTCACTATAATCCAATCCAAAAATCTGAGTGTATCATTTGGCTACCAAGCGAGTTTTAAAACGATCAAACTTACCATTTGGTCCAACCTTTACTGTATAAAGCCAACGACAACCTACTAAAGATATCCCAGAGGGTAGAGGAACCAGTTCTCAAGTACCACTGCTTTGAAGAGCACACATTTCATCAATCATTGTTTGCCTCCACTCGGGGTGAGATTATGCTTCACCTGGAGATTTAGCAATAGAAACAGAAGACAAAAAGGACAAACAAGTATACTGCAAAAGAGAAAGACGATGATAACATAAATCAATATAATGCGGAGAAGGATTTCGTGTTTGATGTATACCTTAGCGAAGGGCAATCGGAAGATCAAACTCATGTTGCAGGATCGGATCTGATGATGGCGAAGGCGTCGGAGGAGAATCTGCAATGACCTCAGGGACAGGTACTGCCTCAGGGATAGGTACGGCAGATGTAGGTTGATGACGCTAATATGTTTGAAGTGGGCGAGAAGTAAGGGGTCAACGGTAGCAGTTTCTAATCGGACAGGTTCCCTAGAATGATGGAGGATAATGGAAAATAGGACTTCCGGAAGAGGTGTAGGAGTACTTTCCTGAAGGGGTTCCGGAGTGACTTGGGTGGACTCAAGATATGGCATTGACTCGAAGAAGGTAACATCGGCCGAGACCAGGTATTGTTGCAGAGTGTGTGAGTAGCAACGATAATCTTTTTGGGATTGATGATAACCAAGAAAGACACACTTCAGTGATCGAGCTGATAGTTTATCAAGACCAGAGGAGAGATTATGCAAAAAAACACGTAGACCCGAAGACTCGAGGAGGAATTGGGTGAAGAGGAGAGTTTGGAAACAGGATTGAATGAGAGATTTTATTATTAAGGATAGATGAGGACATGCGATTTATGAGGTAACATTTTGTGAGCACAGCATCCCCCCAAAGCTGAAGAGAGATATTACCATGGAGAAATAGGGTCCGAGTGGTTTCTACGAGATATCAATTTTTGCGTTCGGCTACCCCATTTTGTTGAGGTGTGTGAGGGCAAGATGTTTGGTGCAGAATACCATTGGATGACATAAAAGTTTGAAATTGTTGGAATAAATATTCACGTGCATTGCCACTTCTTAAGGTACGAATAGACACACCAAACTGAGTTTTTCTTTCTTTACAAAAAATTTCAAAAATAGAAAATAATTTTGATCTATTTTTCATTAAAAATAACCACGTGCAACGTGAAAAATCATCAATAAAAGTGACAAAATACATAGACTCAAGAGTGGAGACAATACGTGAGGGACCCCAAACATCAGAGTGAACTAAAGCAAAAAGGGACGACGAAGCTCGTTTATTGACTCGATTGAGAAATTGACTACGAGTGTGTTTCCCTAACTGACACGACTCACATATGTAGTTCAGGAACACTAGGATGACCTGACTTGACATGGATAGTGAGTGGAGAATCTTTGGCTGAGCATGTCTGAGATGACACTGAGAGGTAATAAAGGCCTTGAAACTCACATCCAACGCCAATCGTCCGTCTCGAACTCCAATCCAGCAGGGTGACATAAATATTAATAAAGGTGACAATACAATCAAGAGAACAAGTTAAATGACTGACTGAAAATAAATTAAAGGGACAATTAGGTACATAAAGAACAGAAGTAACAGAGAGAAAGAGAGAAGGTAGAATTTGATTAGTACCAATTCCTTTGGATCGGATTTGAGAACCATTGATTGATAGAAGTTATAGTAGGTAAGAAACCAAAGGTAGAGAGGGAAGAGAAAAGATTTTTATTACCAGTAACATGATCAAACGCACCAGAATCAAGGATCCAAGAGAAGATGATTAAGAGAGGTAAACGGATGAATTACCAGTATGTGCAACCAAAGTAGTAGAATCTGAGTTCTGATAATTCATCGTAGTTTGGCGTAATATTTTGAAGAATAGCCATGAGTATCAGATCTGGAACCGGAAGAGGGAGGCGATTTTCCGGGGAAAAAAAATCGTGAACAGTAGCGGCGGGGCTCGCCAAAAAAAAAAATTTGTGAATAATGGCGACGTTGGTCGTCGGGGAAAAAAATTTAAAAGATGAGGAAAACTGGAATGATGACACGGTTTGCAGAAGGAAATTTTTCACCGGAAGACAGTGGGTCAACCGGGTAGAGTACGGTGAAGATTTGTCGCTTAGTAGGCTCTGGATACCATGTTAAAATACGAGAGACTAAAAGACATTTGAATAAACCGTGTGTCGAATAGCACAACGGAAAATAATATATATAAAGAGAATTTCATATCAACGGTATTAATTACATATTAAATATATACTGATCATATTCTAGAATATACTAGGAAATATTCTATATTGATCCCATCCTAGAATATTCTAGAAATATTCTAGAGAGTATTATTCTATATACAAATATCAACAACCATATCCCAAAACAATATTCAGAATTTAAGTTAACCAAAATTGTCAAGTGTTCCTGCAAATCAAGTATCCTAAGATACAGAATGCTTACGTTTAAGAAAATTAGACACGAGATTAATATCTCATAACCCAAATTTCTATTGGAGCTTCGAAGAGCAAATTACTAATGCATTCATTGCATGTGCACAAGGTGAACTCGTAGTACCTTCCAGTAAACTTTAAGAGTAGTTAAAACCCATGACTCAAGTGTCTTTTTTTTTGGGTGAAGTGACCATAGGCACATGGTTCGCAATTTGTTTCGGTACGTGGTACGAATTCGAGTATGTGGTACAGAACTCTCAAAAAATTAAGTACATGAGGGGTATACATAATCGATATGCTATTTGAGTTCGTGGTACGTTCAAATATAATATTCGGTACGCTATGATTAAAATAATTTAATTATTTTAAGATTAAGATGGAATGAATAGTTGAATTTATAGTTTTATACAGCTTTTTAGACTTGAGTGAGAGATAACAGAATTGTCTAACATAATATATATAGCTCCGAGTCCCACGTTGAATATCTTCTGTTAAGAGCCAGCATAGCTATAAATATAGAATACTGCAGCTTTACTTTATATCTTACGAAGGCATACTTGAATTTGTACCATAACTCCAATTGAGTAAGTGGTAGTAGTTTAATATTTTTTTTTAACCTTCTTTAGTGGTTTGTGAGTTACTGTGGCATGCTTACATCATCTGCCAACTTCAGTTGAAATAGTTTAATATTTTATAACTAGCTGCTGTGGTACTCTGGTTCGCTGGTTCATGTGAATTCTTAGAGAATTGTAGTGAACCGGTTCACAAAAGTACTGTGAACCAGTTCGGGCGAACCAATTCACGGTTCTCTAGGGGACCTAGAGAATTATGTGACTATGGAAGTGACTTCAGTTATGGACTAGCCTCACTAAACTTAATTCATACTCCAGTACATCTTTCCTTTTTATCCTTTATCCTTTCTCCCCAGAAGGGGGAAATTACTATAAAAAATTGATGGTGAAATTTCCGACTTAGAATCAATTAACAAAACAAGTGTATTGAGAAAACGAACAACTACTTACTCATGAAAGACTATCTGTACATCATTAGCTAAACAAAAACTTCTAGATGAATGAAACTTGCTTAATCTAAACAAGTTCTTGAGAAATATTCCCCCGTTAATTAAGTAACCTCAATTGTGAAACACATGCTCTAAATTCCATGAAGTGATTAAAAGTGTCCAATTTAATTTTTAATACAACCATTTATATCTCTCAAATGCAACTACTGAACGTCTAAACCCAGAAAACATAGCAAAGAAGACCACTAGATGTATAGATTAACAATATATCTGGGAACCTAGAAGAAAGCCAGCAGACTAGCTTACAATTTTCAGGAAAAGTAACTGAATGTTATATAAAAGAGGAAAACATAATATTCACCTCGATAAAGTGGCCATAATCCCGGTCTATGCCTGAAAGAACCAAACACTTCGTAACTCAGAATGGTATCGAAGAAATCTATGATGTAAAATAATGAAGGGCTATAAAAGATTTTTTTCATAAAATTAAACAAGAAAATGTGATTGAGAGTAAACCTCATCTCTTTTTGGTATCTCCGGAAAGCAGAATCACTGTGCACATGAATGACCATTTTGTAAAAAAGGTCGTCATTTGATATGGCATCAACTTTGTGGAAGTTATGATAACATTTGAATGCAGCAGGCAGGCGTTTTTCCTTCATCAACCGAATGATTTCCTGATTCAAAGCCAAATCAAAGCTATGACTATGAACTGAACAGAAGACAGTAAAAATAAAGCATGTGATAGAAAGAAGAGGAATCTATAATGAGGGAAATTTAAATAAAAATGTTAATGCTTCTGAGAATTGTGAGGCCCTTTGAATCATTTGTTGAGGAAAATAACTCAAAGCTATCAAAATCTAGAAAGAAAAGACGATCAGTATACTCTTTTCATATTACAGAGAAAGAATTCATTAGAAAGGAAGACCTGAATCTGCGTCCGGAGGGGCGTGTATGCAAGAAGAAATATGCAGTTTGTCAATATAATAAAAGCTAGTACATATTACAAACTTAACATGAACAAAATATGGTGAAAGTAAAATATTTCCATCTGTAAAGTTAAACATATGGTAGTCTAGACTGACCTGCAATTTTTTTGTCGAATAGTCTGTCGGATGGGCTTGTAAAAATTTTGAAACAACAGATTTGTCTGCATTTCTTGAATGCATATCACCAGCATCAGTCCCAGACCAGTCTAAGTAGTCAGGACAAAATGAGCTACCAACGTTTTCAAGAAGCGCCTTCACTTGCTGCAGAAGCATTCCAAATCACAATATTGAATTACTTTAAATTCATCTAGATTCAGATCCACCCAATTTTGTTTCTAAATGATATTTCCATAGTTCTGGATAGACAGGCAGAGACACACCAGTACCATCCTGGGCCGAGGAAGTGGGCAACCCAAAGTTCCTGCTAGATAGGGTTCTACTGTTGTCTCTGTGTCACTGTCTCTCCTAAATTGACATGATGGTGATATAAACTAAATTGAGAGGATCCATATCCACATCAAGAATTGCAACATCACAACTCTGAATCCAGGCAATAAAGTTTAGCCAGTACCTGTTTTTCATCAGATCTATTGGCAGCACAAATTTCCCTTAGACTTGGACCGAAATCAAGGGCAGCTGAAATCGGAAACAAAATTTGTTTATTATTAAATTGTAATACGTTCTTTGACCACCATTTAGGAGTGTCAGGGAAGCATGTTTGTTCAGGGAGTTCCAATTTTGTCTGAAATTATAATCATAAATCTTGCAAATACAATTATATATTCTGCAATTAGTTGTATAATTGTTGTATTCAGCCCATTAATTAGTAGGGGTGGCAAAACGGGCCCGGCCCGCCGAGGTTTTAGATCTGTACCCTCTAATGTGCCCACCCTGCCCCACCATGTTGTTTTGCGGGCATGGGTCAAGGTTTTAAGCCCACACCCTGTACTATGTCCGCCCCGTCCCCGCTCCTTTTTTTACGGACTTCTGCGGGGCGGACATGCGCGTTTGTCACCCCTATTAGGCCTATTAGGTATATCATTTTTTAAACAGTTCTCAGATTGTACTCTAATTGCTTTCAAAATAATATTCAAAAAAGTATCCCCAATGCTATAATAATTGTAATTATACTCTGATTTTCAGGAACCTTGGACTAAATAATAGTTCAAAGATCCCAAGGATGGGTACACCTTAGAAAATGCATCAACTAAGAAAATGAATATGTAAATAAATAAATAGTAATAAAAATCAAGGCATCAACTAAGAAAGTCAGAGTAGCTATAGCAGCTTAGACATGATATTTCAAGAATCAATAAGCATACCTCCATCAACGGGGGGAGGAGGAAATTCCTTCAAAATTTTCTCTATATGGTTCAAACTATCTTGACTCACAAGACGAGCCACAAGACCTTCTAAAATTTCACCTTGGGCTTTCACATGGTCTTTTGAACCTGCAGTTATGAAAATATATGTAAACTTAACAAAAAAACTCATGCAAAGATAATTGATTAAGAGCATAAATGAGACAAGTGATAGCCAAAAATGAAATGTTGAAATTTGAAACTAAAATTACATGTGGGATGAAACTGAAACTAGAAGAAATCAACAACTAAAATCCTACTTAATTTCTGTTCTGGACTGGGCCGGCACTTGCCCCACCGTTGGGGAGGCCCAATCCAGCGTTTTTACTAAAGGCCCAAAAACATGCAGCAATCTAAGGACCGTTGGGCATTTTCCCACGTGTCCGCTAGGAGAACATAGCTCATGTGTCCATATCATCATCATTCTGCCCTCCGAAAATAACAGGTTCAGCTCTTGCTTTCTCGGGGCAGTTGATCAGGGAGGAGACCACGTGCTGGACTCCATACACACGTAAACCCTGACAGTCTTCGTTGTTGGGCCTCATCGTGGCCCATCATTGAAGACTTTGGCCAAGCGTTGGGGACTATAAATACCCTCTCACTTGAGAGGGCCAGGGATTCATTTTTTCACTCACTCGTATTCTCATACTTGCTTGCATTTGCTCTGAACCTCACTTTGGCATCGGAGTATCTTGCAGAATGATTTGAGGGTAGTCATAAAACTATCAACAGTAACATAAATTCATCATAACCCATCACTCATTTTAAAGGTTTCATAACATATTCTTCTGAGTCATCTTTTGAAATCCTTTTCAATCATCCTGTGGGTGCTAGTGCAATAGAGATTGCCTAGCTCTGTAAGCCAAAGGGACTAAGTTCAATACCCACTGAAGACTGACTGTACGGTTAAGTGCCTCACCCTTCCCTCCCCCTAAATAAATAATAATATTCCCCCTCCCCTATCTTCTCTTATAAAATAACATATTCAATTATATACCATTTCTTCATATATATGAGGCATGAGACACAGTCAAGTTAAATAAATAGTGATAACTCAACATTCATACCTGGTACAGATATGTCCGCAATTTCATCAAGAGCCTTGCATACAGAAGTTGCAGTACCTTCCTCACATAAGGCATCATAGGCAGCAAAGAAGGAAGAAGCTGATTTTCTACATTTTCATAATGGTTTGAGTGAAACAATTTTTCTTAAAATTCTTAATACAATTTAAGCAGATAACATCAATGATAAAAATCCTAGTCAAAATGTTCACCTTGAAATAAAATAGCCAAAGACAAACCTTAATAAATAATAATTAGCTTCAAAGAATATTTCCTTATACGGTCACTTAATAATTGAACCGAAAAAATTCTCAGTCAAAAATTTTTACTATCATGTATTATACAAAGAAAAGCTGATGTCACAGAACACAAATCTCTAAGAACTTGATAAATAGAATACCAACCCGTCAGATTTTAATCACATGGAATTTCACATTTCATAAATAAAAGGTATTCACTTTGAAAGAAAAACTACTAGTGTTGCAACATAAGTAGAAATGACCCAGTGCTTCTCATGCAACATAAATTAATTACAGCATATCAAAATTCTCTGAAGAAATCAGATTTTAAAAGAAATAATCATCATACTTGAGTCATCTTGAGTAATAAAGAACATATATTTAAATATTAAATGTTCACCTTGTTGAGAACAACCACACATGATTCGTTGGTAATCGCCATTTTCTGCAAAAAGCGATTATCTCAGGGGTTGAATAGAACTTTGGCTTCCCATTGCCCAATTCAGTGACTGCTGTAACCACCACTGCTCAGAGCAAGAAATACCAATGAATATATGATAGAAAATAATGCTACAATGAATCTAAAGACGGTATATTATTCAAAATAACAAGAAGCATTCTAAACCAAAAAAATAAATAAAAATTACCGTAATCTTCATGAGGACGCTGTCCATGATCTCCAAGAACAGCAGTTACTAATTCCATTGAAATGCACATATTGTTTCTCTGAAAGAGCAGATGTTAGTAATGTTCATTTCTTCAGCAAGAACACAATTAATAATAAAGTTAAATGTAGTAACAGAGTACTATAGTGTATCAATTTATAGTTATACAGTGAATACAACTAACAGCCACAAGAACTGGAAAATGTTTTGGGAAGGGGAGAAAGACTTCTGTCAAAATGATAAACAAAGTGCAAGCATGCCTAGCTTCAAAACATGAGAAATACAGAAAACCAAATGACCATAAACCATGTATTGAATAGCAATCATATTATTCACAAGCTAATCATTTTCACACTTTAATCATCAACTCTACAGGAGGTCAGAAAACACAGCCCATAAAAAAAAGAGGGAGAAATTTCAGTAGATAGAGATTAGCAATTAATAGCAAATTCAAATTAAGGAATCCATATTGTAATTTAAATGATTCTCCTCAATCCTTTACAACTGAACCAGGAAATGTGTCCTGAATTCTGCAGATAAATGTCATATTAGCATAGGTGAGAAAAACTTAGAATCTAAAAAAACTCCTGCATATCATTTCTAATTTAATACTCTCAATATAGCTGCAATTACCACATGTTTGCAGCTAAAACTGATCCTATCTTAGGAAATACATTTCCTAAATACTCTACATAATCCTATGATGCTATTAAATTTCACCTCAAGAAAATTATTAAATTCAGCCTGCTTTTCTGAAGCTTTGGCTGCCCAAGCCTCGCGAAACATCCGCCCAAGAACAAATACACCAACAGCTGTATATCTGCATAGAGAGGGGGAAAAGGGCATAATCAACAGCAAAAAATTAGGTAAAGTGGAATAATAAAGTAAATGCTTTCAGAAATGGACCACAACAACAATCATATTCCTAACAAAAAAATCATTTTGAGACTTTCATGCTATTTGCCAACTGCTCATGACCATCAATCACAACAAAGAGGGGGAGAGAAAACATCAAGCGCAAGCTAAGAAAAGGGGGGGACATAAAGAGAGACACAATCGCTTGTGAGCATACATATTTCCGAAACTGTTTTTTGCATAAGCTCCACCCTCGTGACCCGCATACATAAAAAGAGAACCAGAGTGTTTAAGTGAAACCTGCACACACAAGTCAATAAAATCAAGCCCATGACTGAAAATCAGTCCAACCAAAGTTCATCCAACTAGTATTCTATTAACCAAAAAAAAAAAACTAAAAACTTACAAACTGTATGCAAATACAACACTACAACCACCATACCTCTAACGTAGCTACACCTTTTGATACCAGCTCAATCATCCTTGACCTTGTCTGAAGAAACATAGAATACTGATAAGTAAAAGTTTCAAAACTACAAAACCGTAAGTAAATGTAAATGCAGAATAGAGAAAATGATTTCATCATCAAAAGAATGCAATTCTCAGTCAAAAACTATTAAAAGCAAAACATGACCAATTAAAAAAAATCTCTTTAATATTGTTTCTAAGAAGTTAGGATCATCATGCATAACAATAAACCGTGCGATTGTTAGGATCATTCTCTTAGAGTCTCCGCTTAAAAACTCTGATTCCTTCATCCATGAGAGAACTTCTGTTGCTAGCAAATGTGCAAGTATTTGGAGGCATATTTTATCTAACCTCCTTGATAAGGATAAGAAATCCTTTGAATGCGTAGCACCATCACTACGGATTAAAGATGTGTCTGACACGACATCACATTGGTTACGTTCAATACGTCCATTTTCATAAAAATTCTCGATGTTTACGTGTGAGTGTCGTATCTGCAGTTTGTGCTTCATAGTTATCAAGAGACAAAATTTCCTTTCTGAAATTGTTAATTTCGTCCTACTATTACTGTACATGGAGTAGCATAGCATCAGGGTTAGTATTCCTAGTTGTTAAGCTCCAGACAGTAGCTAGTTAGTCATTCTGTTATAGTAGATAGTTATATTTCAGTTATTTGGCCATAACTGAAACTGGGTTAGTTAACCCATGCCGAACACAATTAATATTTGTAGTACTAATACTAATTGCGAATGCAAGAGCAATTCAGTCTTTTCTCTCATTTTTTTCCCAAACACTCTCTAGTATCTTCATACATCTCCCAACATCCTAAACTTCTACATTACAACAACAACAACTAAGCCTTATCCCACTAGGTGTATGATTGCCTAAGATGATACCTTGTACGAATAAAAACATATAAAGTAGAAAAACTCATCAAATATTATACGACAAATTTCAACATTATAAGCTCCAATCATGAAAGCCAAACAGAAAAAAAAAACTAAGACATGAATCATATACCTCCTGATCCGACTTTTCATTTTCAAATTTGGGGTAGAAAGTTGCTCTGATTTTTGCATGACCATAAGTGGAATTATCAACAGTAAAATTCTCCAACAAATTACCACTAAACAACTTACTCAAAACAGCACTACCACTACTTTTCTGAGTCGAAGCCGCGTCAACACCAACGCCTGAACCACCAACCTTCCCTTTACCGACCGGTGTGCTTTCAACTTTAGTCACAGTGGCTCCTTCAGCAACAGTTCCATAAGATTTCGGTTTCCAAATCGCCGATGAACCTTGGGAAGTAATCACCTTATTAGCATGATGAACCTTGGTTTGGCCGCTATTTTCACCAATATGAATTCCAGAAAGTTTGTTAGTAACGGTTTCCGCATCTCCAATAGACGACACTTGCGGTTCAGTTTTTGGTTTCGGTTTCCATTTTTGTTCTCCACTTCGCTGCAAAACAGAGAAACAAAATCCGTATTCAGAAAATTAAACATCAGTACCGATCATCGTGAACGATTTCTCAAATTTCAATTGCAACGGTAACAACAATCGAATTCGCGAGAAATGATAAACAGAATCGAGAACAATTACCTGATTGCGAGGCATTGTTAGGGTCCAGTGTGGGTGAGAGAATGGAAGGAAGAGGAAGGTAGTAGATTTGAAGGTAGAGAGAGAAGAAGAAGATAGAATGTGAGAGAGATTGGAGAGTAGTCTTTGCGGTGCCGACATTCAAGGGGTGGCGGAGAGGGCACGGAGAGAGCACGCGCGGTGCTTTGCCAGTGTGCTGTGCACAACGGAGAGACCTGGTAAGTAATGAGACGAACGTGCTTGTTTTTTAATAAGATATTACATACATTTTATTCAAGTAATGAAATTAAAATAGCTTTCAATAATGATATTATTGAAGTAATGAAATTAAAATAACTTCCAATATCAAAAATTAAATTACAAATTTTTTGAAAAATAAATATTGAATAATTTTTAAATTAGAAAATTTTCAATATCATAAATGAATTGACATACATTAATATTTCTTTGAAATAATACTTGACCGTACAACATATAATGTTTATGAGAAAAAATTGACTGGAGATGATATATTTTTATATATTTAAATGATTGATCTTGACTCTTTTATCATTTGGAGTTAATGATAATTTTGGAATAAAAATCTTATGAATAACATCATTATTTAATATAATCTTACCTTCAAAAAATTGAAAAATTTCTTTTATCCGTAGAGTTGTAGCGATCAGAAAGCGTCTAATAGTCAATCACACGAATTCTAAGACGAAATTAAGTTTGTCAACAACAATTATAGAAACTAAAGTGTATTTCAATAGTAAGAATAATGAATATGTGGGTTGGATATTTACATTAAATGAGTTCATTCACATAGTAAAATGGGGTATTTAATTTTCAACTTTTAAGATTTCTAAAAAATTTAATTTATTTTAAAATTTATATATTAATGTAAATGTCAACGGTGAAATATTAGAAATAAATCTTGTCTGTAAATATTAATTTCAATATCAATTGTAAATGATATAATAATTAATTTATATCATTTTTTTATTATAGACTTTATATTTTTGTTGAACAAATATTTTTTTTATACATTAATTAATCTATATTATTTTTCTATGACAAACTTTATATTTTTATTGAACAAATCAAAAAAATTATAAGAAAACGTATTAAAGCATATAAAAAATTAGGCATGGAAGCCTATATAATCACAATTTTTTAGTACCGTTTGGTGTTCAATCTAATTAATGCGTGTTCTCAACTAATTTTTCTATTATTTATCAGTTATCAAAAAAATTGACATTTTCCAACTATTTATAATAGGATATGCAAAATAATGGATATGTGGAGAGTAATTAATGGAGTATTATCATTAAGAATTTTATATATATAAAAGAAGAAATAAATCAAAATCATAGGAGCTGCATATATTGCTCCGCATATTTAAAATAAAGCAAAATTATTAATCATTAATTATATTTCATTATTTTATTAATGATATATAGAGGAAAAAGAGAGGGAAATAGGGTTTTATAGCAGCTGCATTTGTTGTTCCATTTTATATAATAAAGATAAAGATGACATGGGGATGATATATATATTAATAGTTAATTTTTAGCACTACAAATTGATTAAAAATGACAATTTCTCTTTCTACTTTTATTTTATTTTTTTATATTTTGTGTGAAATTTTTAAAATGGTTTTTTTGTTTTAGAAGATGTATTTACGGATGCATTAAAAATTATTTTTTTCATAATAAAAAACATAGATGTAAAACTGAAATTATTTTAAGGGTGTGTTCAGAAGCTAGTTTAAAAAACTAGTTCAGATGCATCTCCGAATTAAGTGAGTATATTTAATTACTCGCGCCAGATCCTCCCTATTCTCTTTTTTCATTTTCAGAAAAAATAACTTCCTTGTTGTATTATTATATTTGGTTTCTATAATGTCTGGTTATATTTAAGCATTATATAGTTCTATAATATTCGTTTTTATTAATAGTTGAAACAAATAACGGTAATTTTAATTGAATTAAAAACACCATAATCTTCGAAAACTGATTCTGAAAAAATCACACAGGCAATAATTCGAAGACACAACTCCAAATTACCTCCACACATGGTTCAAATATGCATCTCCGAATCAATTTTCTTAAGAAATGAGGGGTTATTTGATTTTTCTTAAGGATAAAAAGTGACTTCGGAGATGCATATGTGAATTTACCCTTAAGAGTGTATTCGGGGTGTGTTCGTAGATGCATCTCTGAACTAAAATGATGCAAAAATAATATTTTGTGTGTTCGGATATGCATCTCCAAATTCACCCAACAGCATTTTTGAATTTTCAGAGGTGTGCCCCATATAGCAAGGGTGGGATGAGAAAGTTTCTTTAAAATCATGGTAATGATAACTGGATTGTCCAGTTTCGGTTAAACCATGAACTAGACTAGATTTCGGCCCATATACATCTAAATGTTAGGATTATAACCACAGTAAATCTTTAAAAATTGATACAAATAAAATAAAATCACAATAAAAAATTATTACTAACTTGTAATTTTTGGACAAAAAAATTGTAAACTCTCTCAACAACTATTTTAAAACGGAAAAACAGAAAACCCTCTCAATCACAATTTTTGTACTAAAAAATTGTAAATCCTCTCTAGACACAACATAACTATCCAAATCCCCAATACACCTAAAAGATTAGAATTGTTGTGGTAAATAAACTCAAACTAACTCTCTATATTTATAATAACATTTTACTCATTTTTTCTTCACATTACTCGATGTGGGACTTGGATGAGTACCCACTTTAACAGAACATATCTTCCATTCATTCAAAGTCTCACACCTTTTCACTTCATAGTCACCTTCATCCTCGCAAACAAAAAGATCGTATTCACAACTAACCATATTTGCATAAGGAACGTTTTTTAATTCTTTTGTCTTTTTCTTTATACTTCGTACATCCTCTATAAATTCTGGACATCTAAATTGCATGTGACTGAATTATTGACAGTAGTGACACTTGACATAACTCATATCCCTTTGTTGATAACTTCTACCATATTGATCATCATAGTTCTTTCTTTGTCCTGCTTTGACTACTAGTACCTTATTTTCTTTGGGAGATTAACCAATATCCATCATTTGTTGGTTATTTTTCAATGATTTCACTACTTCATCTAACTGTAGTGTGTTCTTCCCTGCTAATATTGATTGCACTTATGATCTGTAAGATTTGAGTAGTGAAGCCAACAAAAGTAGCAATTACTTTTCATCTTTGATATCTTCCCCTGCATACGTGATTCTAAATACCAGCTCATTAAATTTATTAATATTGTCAAATACATTACTTTCATCTTCCATCTTCAATGGGTATAAATTCATTTTCATCATTAATTGATTGGTTAATATGGTTGATTCAAACTTGCTTTCTAAGAAATCCCACAATTTCTTTGGAGAAGTTTCTTTTAACACAACCACTTTAATATGTGGAGCAAGTGTCAACTGAATTGTACTCAGTGCCTTTTTGTATTAAATTTCAATCTGATTCTTTCATCTCATTTGGTTTTTCCTTTTCCAAAGCACAATCTAGACCTTGTTAGACCGAATATACTTGTATTGCGCATTGTCATAAAGGAAAATCCATTCTCCTATCAAACAAATGAATATCCAACTTCAATGTAGCCATAATATTGCTTAAGAAAATAAAACTGAAATCAAATAAGATGATAGCAAATTTGTAATTTCCTCCCTTGATCAGAACCTTTGCTCTGATGCCAGTTGTTGGGATATAACCAGAGTAAATCTCCAAAAATTGATACAAATAAAATAAAATCACAATAAAAAAATTATTACTAACTTTTAATTTTTGGATGGAAAAATTGCAAACCCTCTCACCAACTATTTTTGGACGGAAAATAGAAAATTCTCTCAACCATAATTTTTATACGAAAAAAATTGTAAACCCTCTCTAGACACACAGCTGCCCAAATCTCCAATACACTCAAAAGACTAGAATTATTATGATAAATAAACTCAAACTAACTCTCTATATTCATAATAACCGTTCACTCTATTTTTCTTCACACTACTCGACGTGGGTCTTAGATGAGTACCCACTTTAACACAACACTAAAAACCATTATGCTTCTAAATCGAAAAACAAACTTCTTAACCGATTGAAAACCAGGAAAATTGGTTAAACCCTGCGGTCTAATTGGTTATATTGTTGAATTGCGCTTTGATCTTTTGGTGATAATCAAAGAAGAAAATTCTTAGATACAACTATAACATATAGTTTTTTTTACTAAATCATAATACGTACGTGGTTATTAATTAAAAAATAAAAATAAAATTTTCTTTCTCCTTCATTATCACAACCACCTCATGATTTCAATTAAAATAGAATTAAATTTTAAATAAACTTAAAATTTTCTCTATTCTTATTGGTTGTTTCTAAAAATATTTGGTTGTTTCTAAGAATATAGATATGAATTTGTTTTCATGCAAGTATTTGTCAACATGGAGTTACTTTTCGGACATGATCTATAAAATAAACATGTTAAGACCCTTAATCACATCAAGACTATTAGGAGAAGAATAATGGACATATTATCAACAACTACCAAAAACCAAATCACTAAATTAAGAAAAGAAATAAAGGTGATAGAACAAAGAAAAATAAAAAATGAGAGAGAAAAGAGTTGGTAACTATTATTATACAAGTGTATTATACTTTTAGGGTTTATGATATAAGTGAGATTGGTCAAAAATAACTTTTATTTTAATGTAGACTTATCTAGTTTTTTTAACAAAGCAAAATTCATATGTTCAAAACATACCCATAAGTACAAGGAGATCGCAAACGATCTAACCCACAAAAAGACAAAATAAACAAATATCAATTACATCATAAGGCTAACAACATGACCTCTAAGCTTAGGAGTAAACCAGCCCCTGTAAACAATGGTATCAATAATTTATTGGATAATGTTATTCTTATTAACAACATTCCCAAAACAACAATCATTTTGATACCTTCAGGCCCCATATATAGCTTCAGTTACTGCAAGTTTCAGTAGGGCAATCCTCCACCCTTTACCTCTACTATGCAATAGAGTCCACTCAAGTTCTTCTTTCCAAGGTTTTGGCCTATGGTAAACTTGGATCCAATTAACGATTCCAACCCAAAT